ATCAAAGCTACCAACATGAATTTGACCCAACTCCGGGAGGCAGTGGAAGACAGGAGGGCCTGGCGTGCTCTGGTCCATGGGGTCACGAAGAGTTGGACACGACTAAACAACAAAGTTACCCCACTCATTCATTCAGAAACTAAAAGCATAACAGAAAACTTTCACATTAGCTGAAATTTTGTTGCTTAATTTAGTAAATTATACTATTTGGTGAGTCAACTCTGTAAGTTCTATTAGTTCAAATGGGCCTACCCTACTTGTGACTTACAACACTAAAGAAAGTCACAACTGGAGTAGGCCCATTTGAATCAATGGAATTTACGAAGGACTTGACTGACCCGATCCCCACTTATTCAATGGGCCTGCTTTAGTGCTACTTTCTATGCTAAGCAAAAGAATTTCAGCTACAATCTGGAACATATCCAGTATTAGTTACTGCTTGCCTGTATATAGGACATTAACATTAGCCACAGACTACTTTTTAAAAAAAGGCCACACAGATACTAGCTCTAAAGGAAAACAGCTTTAACCCAATCTGTACTGATTCAAAGTTAATTCTTAGTTATCTGCATCAAAACAGCACTGAAGGAGTGGACCACACTGGCCATTGTGCCAGAATTGTTTTTCTAAATTTGCAAGAAAAAGGTAGGCATGGTTGTTGTTTCTCCATAGTTATATAGCTGTTTGAAATAAGTGCTTAGTACTTTAAAGCAAAAGACTTATTCCTTGTTGAAAGGAGCCCATTGTTCACCCTTGTTAAAATGTGCCCTGGTTTATGTCCTGTTAATACCAGCCAGTTCGCCACACTGCTCTTCTTTCAGGACAAAACTCTCTTCTCTCTCTATGTACAAGAGTCTAAGGAACACCATCAAACAGCTAAAATGATCCCCACTGTTTCCAAAGAACAGAGTAATGGAGTAGCGGTAGCTCTCATTACTGCTGTGATGTCACAGAAAAGAGCCAAGGGTGACAATCTGGCTTTCAGACAGATGGATGAGATGACTGTGATCCATCAGCTTCATTAGATGGATAACATTAGCAGTAAGAAAGTGTATCTATAGCACCAGTAAATGTTTATACCTTCACAGCACTATGTCAGCTGCAATTCCTCACTGTGCCTAAGAGGCTTACTGTCTCTACTGCAGGAGAACTCTGTGAAGTGTTGAGGCTGCAAAATGGTAAGCTCCAGTTATTTCTAGGACTAAGCAGAGATCAGAACCCATGCTGACTCCTAGCTTTGGTTAAGGAAAGGAGAAAGGCTTAATGATGGTCCAAAGAAGCTATCTGATCAAGGAAGCAGGGGAGAGGCTGTCACAGGTAGAGAGTTTGAAAGGAGATCAAGGAAGCATGCAGAAAGTGAGTTTGTGCAAAATGGATGCAGCAGGAAGACATTCCTACCACTGCTGTTAGTCAGGCAAACAAAAAGGAACTGAAGCCAAGATCGAGACGTGTGCAGTGGGGTGGGGAGGTTCTGATAAAACCATGTTGCTCAGCAATAGAATGTTCCAAATGTGGTGCACAGGTGTTAGGAAACTCCTGTACATGCGAGTCCCAGAGATCACAAAGGAGAGAGGAGGTGGGGATATATAAATTAGATCAGGAGATCAGCATTGAGTAATAAAAATGATTAGTATTGCTAATAAAGTGACATCAAAGGTCACTCCACAGATTCATGTGCTCATAAAAATAAGAATGCATTCAAATCTAAAGATTACCGGCTGAAGTTCATCCCTGTCTATGTACTGTAGCCTTGATCAGTGGCCCTTTTACCCATCAGTCACTGAATCAGTTCTTAGAACCAAGTTATTCTCATAGCACAAAACCTTAAAAGGAGATTGGACAGATTTCTGGAGGAAAAGTCCATCTCGGGTTACAAGCCATGATGGGGATGTAAAATCTCCAGGCTTAAAAGGAAGGTACTTCAAAATGCCAGATGCAGGGGAGGGGTATCAAGAGACAGGAAGCTGGACTAGATGGGCCTGATTCAGCAGGGCTCTTATGTTCTTAAGTCCACAACATTAGCATTTATAATGCCTAAACGGGGTCACATGTTCTTTATACGCCGAAGTTCCCCTCACATATCAGATGATCTAGGAGTTTGCCTCTAAAAACACTAGCAACTGTCATCCTTGTCATATCACATCAAGCCAATTCTGACACATGGTGAGCATTTTCAGGTCTCTGGGTAGAAAGTATTCAGTTAGTGGTTTACCGTTTCCTTCTTCTCTGCATCTTGGGGCTGTGCAGCTTGCCCAAGGCTACACAGGCTGGCTGTTTTGGAAGGCACAGTGGGGAATTAAACTCCCAACCTGATGCCTAACTCACTGAGCTATTCAACCAGCTAGGTGTCTTAATAGAAAGGTAACATTTAGAAAACTACAGGAACTTAATAAGGAAAATTTTTTGACATACCACACATCAGAAACTGCAGTTTGAGAGACAAGGTAACACACAGTACAAAGTAAAGTACAGCGCAAAGTATTTGAGAAGATAAATTGGGTGTGTGGAGCGAGATGCAGAGTAGCATTATGTTGGCCCAGTCCTTCAGAGGAATGCAAAATATAAGAATACCCTTCTCCTCAGAAAACTCTTTGCTACAAATCCGGCTGTGCTTCTACAGAAGCTGCTCAGCACTTTCAGAGAAAGCAGTGTTTTTTAGGCTCGACACAAATGGCAATCCACCCACAAGATGGGGTGGGGGTGGGGGCAGCATCAAGAGAAGAAATCCAGTGTGGGAGAGGCTGCTTGTTTTCCCTATTGGCTATGTGGCATTTCCCAGCTCTGCTAATTATATCATCACTCCTATATAAACGCACCAAAATAGCAGGAGCCCTGCTGGCTGGGCAGACTGCAGAAGAAAACTGCTGTCTTTAAATAATCCTAACAGGAGGAGAGCCAGGATGAAAAGGGCAGCTGGGTGCCAACCTCTCAGAGATGATAGTGGTCCCTGAAAAGACATTAGTAGGGAGGCCTTGCTCTATCTGGTTAAAGCAGCTCATTGGGGTATGGTCTGCAGAAGAATTCAATAGGATGAGAGGCTAAACTTAAAGAGTTAATTCTAGGGTAAGAGCCTCAATGCTCCAGCCAACTGCTGACATAACAAAAGACCCTATTATTTCCCCTCTAAAGGAGAATTGTCCTCGCCTCAATTATCAGACAAAGATGCATAATTTAAAGGGTTTACTTCATCAAAAGAGAACTACACTGAAAAAAAAAGGGGGGGAGTGACTCTCTCTCACCTAATCAGGGCTTAAGCATCTGTTTATTCTTCAATGTGTAAACAAAGGCCTCCAAAGCACCTAAAACCTACAGATTTTGCATTTAAAAGACAATTCTGCATCTCAAAAGATAATACTGCTCACTCATCAAGGTAATACAAGACTTTTCTTCTTTTCTTTTTGGTCTGACATTTAAACCTCTGATCTGACAACAGGAGAAAGTAGCAGGAGCCAACCCTGTCATTTGCAGCCTTTCTTTTTGCAAAACCAAAGATAGGGGACCCACCAATCTTGCTGCATTTGTAATACAAGAAACTGCTCTATTCACTAATGAACTAGTTATTTTATTATCATGTATATAATGCAATACAATAAGAATATTTTTATCCAGCTACTCACTGAGTGTTTGAAAAAAAATCAGTAAAATTTTACATATTTATTCAACAATGTATCAGGAAGAGGAGGGTGGAAGACGTTCTATATAATCTCACATAGGCAGCTACCAAAGACATTTCGGATTTGAAATCTGCTGGTCTTTAAAATGTCACAGTATTTTGCCTTTGCCCTTCTTTTTCTCCCCGTGCCCCGCTATTTTGCCATCATATATGCAAATTAATTTCTATGTATTGCTTTCACCCCAGACCTTTGTTTAATATGGATAAATGTATACAGAAATAGTTTGCTGATAAAAGGAATATTCAGGGAATGCAGTTACACAGTTTGATAATAAATACACACAGAGCGTGCAACTCAGTTTCTAAATATACAGTGAATTAGCTCAGTGCCACTTGCTCTTAATTTACTGTTTTAACTGTTGTGTACTTACAGCTTATCATTGTATATTTTATCTATCATTATAAACCACCCAGAAAATTGCATTGCACTAATGTGACAATAAATAAATAAATAAATAAATAAATAAATAAATAATAAATAAATAAATAAATAAAGTTTTCAGATAGAAATAAGGTCAACATTTTTCAGCATACCCAAACTTTATGACAAATTTCTCAAAAAATCTGATTGTGATACCATTAAAGTTTTCAAAAGCTTCTGTTGCCTTTTTTTTTTTATACCTCAACCTGCTACTACACCTTCTTGCTTTTTGTAAAACTAGCAAGGATATATATGTTTGCTATCATTTACATGGTACTTGGAATATTCATATATATTGTTTCAATTCATATTAGAAGGCAGGTGTTATCCATATTGTGTAGATTTGCTGGAGGGGGTGGGACTAAACTGAGAAGACATAGTTTGTCCATGGCCACATAGTGAATTAAAAGATACTTCACAACTCTTCTTAAAAAATGAACTTATGAAAAAAGGCAAACAAAAAAGAAAAACATGAAGGCCAAGATCGATGGATTACAGTACAAGGTGAGAATATAAACTTCATATGAAATGTCAAATTGTTTTCTTGGTAAAAAGAAAACAATTTGACATTTCATATGAAGTGATATACAATATATTACATGGGAAGACAAAAACTTCTAGAAATATATACTCAGAATGCATAAAAGCGAGTTTATAGGGAATTCACAACTCAAATATCACATTATAAAAGTTCAATACTATACCAGGCACCAAACATTGTTAACCTCTGCCATGAAAAAGCAGGGCAAACGCTTACAAGATCTCGGAGCTAAAAAACTTCGTTGAGACCTCAAAATTACTCCACAGCATGCCCACTGAACTGAAGCATGTCTTAGAATGGATGCACATAATTTCTTCATGAAATATTCATCTGCCACAAACTGCTTCTCTAGCACCACTTCTTACCTCAACGAGGTATCTGGGTGTGCCTCCATATGGCTTTCCAGTCCATATTTGCATGAAAATTCCTTGAAACACACTGGACAGCGAAAAGCTTCCTCCGCTTTCTTCTCAGCTTCACCACTTTGTGGTTCCTCTGCAACCTGCTAGATAGAAAATGGAACATTCTCACATGTGAATTCAAGCAACAGGCTCAGGTAACAAAATTCACATTATAATTATTACAGTAGCACCTGGCTTCATCAAAGGTCGCTGAAAGGTTGCTGTATATGATAGCTCAATAAAAACTGGCCCGTATAATCAGCATGATTTTCTGTGTCTATACTGTTTATTCCAAATGATTATAAATGCCTCAGAGAAGGGAAGAATGTAGAAATTGCCTGAAACACGGACAATGGATTCACTCAGCTCCTCTGAGCAGCTTTGGACATATGCTTTTCCATTTCCTCCCTTGCTCTTTCATACTTCTTATGACATAGATTATATGAATATTAGAAAGGGGGGATGGCTCTACAATAGTCTGACATCAAAGTAACTTTCCAAACTTGATAGGAAAATTTATTTGACCAGAAGGGGTTATTGCTAGCCACTAAATCCATGGGTTTCTCGGAGAAGAAAAAACAATGAAATCATTCCAATTATCAACTTATAGAAGGGGGGGGGAGAAATCCAAAACAAAATAGTTTCTGTCAAGTTGTCTTCTTGACACATGAGGCTGTCCTCTTTTCCAAAGTATGTCAAAGGTGTGTCACTACATGTATGGGAAAAATGGTGAGCCACCCACCTTGCACCTGTTCTGCCTACATACACTCTACTACACACATCTGCTGGATATAATTTATTTTGGCAAAACATGGGAGCCACTTCAGGCACGAAGTGAACCAATGCTCTTTCACTGAAGAGGAACAAAACCAACATGCTTCTTATTTCCTGTCTCATTCTAACTGAAATCCTTCACAGCAACTTGCCCTTTGACCAACATACTGCAGCTTCAGAAAATGAATGTGTAGCAACCACACATTCCTACCACTTCTTTTTCCTCCTCCATCCACGTGATGATTCATTTTTTTAAATATTTAATTTGAAGTCTAAACTCTTTAAAAAAATCAATCCTAAATCACAAATAAAAAGATAAAAGGGCGAATGAGGGAACAGAATGCAACCACAGGGGTTATTTTCTCAGTGTTTCCCAAAGAACCTTTTTTGCTGGAGTCCGGTCCTCCTTGTCCACCTCAGTCTCTTGTTTACGTTTGGTGGACAATCGCCTGCGTTTCAGTGGGGAGACAGGCGTCGTCGTACTTGTTGTGCTGTTTGGATCCTTCTCATGGATTTTCATGTGTCTGAAGTCAGGTGGGAGATAGGAGGGGAGGAAAAGAAACAAAAGAGCCAGTGGTTGAACACAGATTTTCAATAGTGGGACACTTCAATCAAGGTTTGAAAATATATGATTTAAAAAACAACAACAGATTATTATCATTAAAGTAATGGACATTCACTATTTTAATGTGCTTCTCATTACAACGCTTTAGCACCAATTTAAAATATCGCAATGCACAAGAAGAGAACATAATCTGACAAAACAAATGTAATGAAGAGAGATTTTTCACGAAGTTTACTTGCAGTCAAGCTGATTGTGACTTCTGGTGATCCTTTCCATGGATTTCTAGATACTCAATATAAAGAAAGTGGTTTATGATGTCCTGAGAATGCTTTGGGACTGTGCAGCTTGCCCAAGAACACGCTGGGTGACTCTTCTACAAAGCACAGTCAAACTCCTGACCTACCAGATGCTCCAACTCACTGAGCTGAGCTTAGGCCACCTTTATTTCACCATCTTTCCCAGAATATCTAAGCATCCCTTAATGTCTTCACAATATGATGCATTTATCAGCCCTACTTCCAGAACTTGATGAAGGGCAAACACTGCAAAGCCAGCACTTGGAAACCTATTTTGAACTGGAGTATCCCCGAGTCTGTATGGCCTCACTTCTTACTTTAATTATGTCACCTCATCACGTGTCAATTTACCTCTTGGCTATTCATCCCAATGAAGGAAAGGCTGTGTTACTGCATTGTCTTATATTACCAGAGACGATGAAAAAATTATTTACTTTAATATGGCTCTACCCCACCCCTTATCACTCTGATTTTGACAAGGTCAACCATATAAGCAGACTAAAATTCAAGGAAAGTCTACTAAAATTGGAAGAATACACACATACAGATCGTTAAAGTGCTCCCAGCAGAACTTGCTCTTTCAACAAGCTGAATTTATAATGCCTAGGATCATTTGTGATAACATTCCTTAGTTTCTAGAGCATGCTCTGTCAAGCTGGGGCTCCTCTTCCAGAGCTTGGAACATTTCTTTTTAAAAAGTAATTCACTGCTTAGTATTTGTAACAATCCATTGCTTGACATTCAATATTTGAAGCGAATGGCAATTTGCTTTATCAAGTTATTTAGCTGATTTTTTAACTATAATTATCAAATGGCTTTTTCAAAACAATATATTTTTTAAAAAAATTATATAATGAGTGGTGAGATAACCACTTTTTAATTGAGAAACACTTGTTACTGCATTCAAGAGGTAACTGGACAACTATCTGTCAGATCTCCTGAGGTTTGGCTGTGGGTGGGTGGGGGGAGTAGCAGGAGATCTGCTTTGATTTGTATTCCTGCATTAAGCAGGGAGTTGGACTCGATGGCCTTATAGGCCCCTCCTGACTCAATTATTCTATGATTCCGAGGTTCTATTCCTAAAACATAATTTCAGGGGACCTCGTTCTCTTTCTTGTACATTTTAACTGCATACTTTAAAAACACAAAAATAGTAAGAAATTCTCACAAATGATGTTTCAGGAATAATGAGTAAATATTACTCGTTAAACTGAGTAAGTGATTATGTCCCCATGATGACATCACTTTTCACAACTGCTAATCCCTCTTCATCCCAAAAGTAAGAAGTTAACAATGCAACACATTACTTCCACGTTCTGATACCTAGCAATTAAGAACCTTAAACAAGTTCTGGATTCACTAAAGTCTCATGCTATACACATTACATTCCACAACCAACAACCTGAATTCATTCAGACCCCTTATAATACCATACCATGATATATGTATGAACCCTTAATTAACAAGGAACATTCTTGGCAACAGTTACAGCCTAAAGAAGATCTCCTCCCCTCAGAAAAAGATATGAAAAAAACAACAACAAAATTTGAAATAAATTTTATGTAAACCGCTCAGAGTAGACACGTTCTAGATGGGCGGTATATAAGTTTAATAAATAAATAAATATACATACAAGGCATAATTCCAAAATAATGAGTGATGTGAAGGAAAGCTTCCAGGCCATAAAGCATCAGAAGACAAGGACAATTACAAAGAATGACCCCTTATAGGGAATATTGATATTACATAGCTACAACTACCTCTATTTCTGAAAACAGACACCTCTTCTTGAACAAATTAAATAAATGGTGAAGAGCCCTGTTTTGACACAGAGCAGATTTCAAAGAGACTAACTATTAGACTGAGAAAACAGCTATCTTTGAGGCCCAAGAATAGTTGCCTCTGTCATATGTCCAAGTAAGCTGGCACCAGGACCAGGAATACTATTTACCCAGACATGTATAGATAGGGAATTTTTTTGGGGGGGGGGGAGAGAGCACTGACCCTGATTATCAATGTAACTGGAAACTATAGGTGATCCACAAAGAGCAGTCAAGTATATCCTAAGACAGCAAACCTTTTTGTTCCTGAGTGCCCAAACTGAAAAAGAATAAAAACAAAACAAAACAAAAAAACAGCGGGCAGTGTGCCACTGCGGCAGAACTGGAACCAGTGTTGGCAGAACTGGAAGTGGCGGCGGAAGGGCAATCCCTGGCACCGAGGTGCCTTGAGACCCCACTCCGGATCTGCCGCCAGAACCAGCTGCTCCGGATCCTGACCCACCGCCTGCCGAAGCACCAGCACTGCAGCTGCAGCCGCCTCCTGAGGTTTGGCTGCAGGGGGGGGGGATCCTGCAACTTTTGGCTTGCGTGCCCGCAGACAGGGCTCTGTGTGTCAGCTGTGACACACGTGCCATAGTTTCACCATCACTGTCCTAAGAGAATGAAACATTTTTAAAAAATTTATAAACATTTCTAAAAGCATTTAAAATATTTATAAAATTTAGATATTTTGAAATGTTTTTAGAATTGATTTTAATCTTCATTCATGTTTAATTGTTTTTAACAGAATGTAATGCTATATAATGTTTTGAAGTTTTTACCCTGTTTCCCCAAAAATAAGACAGGGTCTTATATTAATTTTTGCTTCAAAAACGCATTAGGGCTTATTTTCAGGGGATGTTTTATTTGTTT